TAATTGCACACAGAAGCTCAGATGAGGAAAAAATGTTGCCTTAGGCCAAAGGTTTTCAGACTTACTACCTTCAGGTAACAACTTTCCACCGTTTGCCAAGGAATATTTATATATTTATTTTCTGCCACCTTTCCATTAAAAACAAAACATAGCGCAAAGTGGCTAACAAATGTCCCTTAAGAACAACTTGGGCCATAAACTCAGCAAAATCATTGAGCATTTGCTCGGGAATTCTAGGAAGTATCCCTGTGTATTGCAAAGGATTCTGAGAGACTTTGACAGCACATGCTCAGTTCAGGCCATGCACTGACTAATCTTTTTGCTCTTCCAGTTATCTTGGATGAACGAAGAGAACACACTTATCCACAGGCCAGGGATGTATTTTTGCCCCTTTTTTTAACATGCCGCTTTTGATTTGTGTGTTTGCTTTGCTTAAAATAAATGGCCCTCAGAAGGATCTTCTATTTGGATCAAGACCTTTGCCTCCTTTATTGCTGATCGGATCAGGGCTTACGGGCCCTGTTTACCTAGTTGCTAAAAGGATCCTTTCATTTCTTGGAGATGCCTCCTCTATTTTTGCATGACAGTTTGCAGGCATGATCCCTTGAAACAGGGGGCTGGGAAGGGGGCTGAAGCCACCATCAGACATTAAAAGCACCCTCTTTCCTCAAACTTGGGTCCCAAGTGTGAGGAGGGCATGCTTGTACCACTCCCCTGCACACAAGACGTTAGGGTGAAGTGGCACTGTTAACGTCATGTGTAGTTTGACCCCAAATTTCCTTGCATGTTATTGCAGATGCAAGAAAAGGGCAACCTTTTTTTTTCATGTGGCTACTTTTATTTACCTCTTTATTGAGGAGGGCCAAAATCCCCAGAACCTAGTCTGGGAACCACTGTCATGAGCTATAGTATAAATTGTATGTAGGAATTCTGTTCCTGCCCAGTAAACAGTTAAACCCGTTGCCTACGACTTGATGTTTTTGTCATCTGTTGGCAGTTCAGATCCTTGTCTGTTTTTGTTGGTGTTTTGCTGCTGTTACTGCTGTTCTATATTGAAACAACTTTCAATCTTGGCAGCAAAACCAATAGCAACCGAACCCTCCTGTTTTCCCTTTTCCTGCTTTTGCAAATTAGACACAGACAAAAAGAAGATACTGTACAGTACTCTGAACAAGTAAAATCATTCTGCCACCTAGTGTTTGGTAAATATACCTGCTTGAATTCACCATCTGAACTTCCAGGTTAAAAGAGTTTGCCCCATAGAACAAGAAGAAGCAGAATGTGTTTTTATTAGGGCTGAATCAGAGTTGTAGAAAGTTGCTTTTCCTGACTGTAGCTCCCATGCTGGCTCAATCATCCTGGGAGTTATAATCCAAAAACCATAACTTTTCCAAGTTCTGGACAAAGTGATGTGTGTAGTATGGAATGCAAGCTTGTGACTTCTTGACATCTCTTCGTATGGGCATTGAGAAGGCAATGTGATTTCAGTGAATGGGGTGTCTTCATATTTTCCAAACAGAAAAAGTTGCATTTTGAGATACTGTAAGACATATGAGATAATTTGGAGAACCAGTATGATGTAATAGATAGATTAGGGATGGGACTTAGGGGACCTGAGTTCAAATCACTGCTTGTCCACGGCAGCTCACTGTGGGGGACCTGAGTTCAAATCACTGCTTGTCCATGGCAGCACACTGTGGGGTGGGCTGGTAGAACCACTCCTTAGCTGGGCTGGTAAAACCACTCCTTAAATATTGAATGTACCTTGGACACCCTGATAGGGTCACCATAAGTCAGATGTGACTTGATGACACATAATAAGATAATGTTCAGTCCGAAACATGAATCATTAGAAAGAATTGACATTTTCTTTTTTACTGGCATTAAAATATTAAAAATCATATCTTCTAGCCCCTGACTCTCTGCCCCTTGGCTTAATTTTTGTATCCATGAATTAATCAACTCAACTGTAATTGGATCAATGACACCTTGCATTTCTCCCTAACCCAGTAGCAATTATACACAGCAGTGTGCTCAGAGCTTCACATGTATGACTTCTGCAGTCCTTCCATATGTGTACCTTAGGCCAGCATTAACTACCTCCACGTTGGGGAAGAAGGGATTGTTGTGAAATGGTTGGAGAGAGTGGCCAGCCTAAAGCCATCTAGCAAGAGATAAGATCTGAAGTGAAGCCTTCCTGACATCTGTGTTCCTAAAATGAAGCTTGTGATTACATTAGATATAGTTCAGCTGAAGTTCAGTGTTTAAAAGACCAATGGGCATCCTTTGATGTGATGAGCAACTACTCAATGTTTTCCAGTTAAAACCAATGGAGCTTAAAAGTTGACGTTTTACTTTGGCTGCTTGTCCCATTAGCAGAAGGGCAGGGTGGAAAGGAGGACAGAGTTCCTGTACCTTAAATAGTTGCTTAGAAGAGAGTATTTTGCTGGGAATGCAAGCTACACCGGCTAAAATGTCCTCCATACAGCTATACAGGAGCCCTGTGGTCTTTTACCTCTGGTTACCCTAACCCTCACTCTTCCACGTGCCACATAATCTTTTCCCACAAAAAGGAACTGCGTCTACCACCTACTTATTTGAAAGCGGTTGATCTTAAAAATGAAGACCACTTCATGAGATAAAAGCTGCTGAGAGCTACTAGTCACGATACACACATATTCTCTTCAGTATCAGAGAAAGGATGCCTCTGAAGGCTAGTTTGCTGGGAAATATCAGCAAAAGGATGGCATTTACCGTATTTTTTGCTCCATAAGACGCACTTTTTCTCTCCAAAAAGGTGGGAGGGAAAGTACATGCGTCTTATGGAGTGAATGCAAATAACCCAGGGTTCAGCCACCACCACCCAAAAGCCTCCCACTGCCATGCCAGGAGGCCTCTGAACTGGCAGCAGAGACTGCTTGCTGTTCAGACCTCAGCATTCTGCACTGCTGGCTTTCCAAGATCTGCTCCCTGCAGCTCAACTGGAAAACCAGCAAGGCAAACAGGCCTGTGGCAGCAAGCAATGCAAACAGCCAAGGACCAAAGGGGAAGGAGTGATTCTATAAAAACCAGGGGAAACCAGAAACACAGGCCCCCATTTAGACAGTTGATTTTCCCACATTTGGGGAAATCACAGGGGTCAGCTCATCTGAAGTGCAATGGATGAGCCTTACCCTGGGAAAACCACTTTTACAATAATGGTATCTCCCCTGCCAGGTATGAGTTAGAATGGCCCCTGAAAATTCTTCCCCTTTCTGTGCCCTATCCCCTAAAAGGCATGGTGACACCCCGGCTGCACCTCCTGATCAGAGCAGGGCATACAATGGCAGCAGGCCTGTCCCTGAAGGAGAATTTGCCTGTGAGGGAGAAATTCAAGTCCAATTTTGTTTTGAAATGGGTATTTATGGGATGGTAGCAGGATTAGCGGGTTCACCAATTGGCTGCATCTGCCAAAATGACTCAAGGGCAGATTCTGTAGCTCCTTACACACCCAGAACGGTTAATAGCAGATTTGGGCATACAAGGAACAGAAGAACAGAGAAAGACACCCACCCAGCCACTCTATGATGCTTAGCCGGAGCACTTAGAAATGGAAAGCCCAAACGAAATGTTGGGTGGCAGAGAAAAGTGACAGCAGGCATATGGTGTAATTCTCAAAGGTAGAGAAGCTCTTTCTTTGGGGGTTCCCTGAGGCAACTGGTTGGCTGCTATAGGAACAGAATGTTGGCCTCGGTAGGCCTTTAGGTCTCGTCTAGCATGGCGCTTTTTGTGAACACCTTTGAATTTTTGGCTACCATTCTGGGCATTAGTTGCACATTTTAGCAATTTATAGGACTCTGGAACGTCTTCCTACAGGAGGCCAGGCTCGCCCCATCTTTGCTGTCCTCCCACCAGCGGACAGAGATCTTTTCTCTTCTGGCAGGCTTTCCCTTAGTGACTTCCTGTCTGAGAGGAGATTTTAAATGGAGTGTTGTGCCTTCTTGCTTTGAATCTGTTTTTTTGGTGTTTTAAGTGGGGTATTTGTTTGGTTCTTTTAAAATATTTGTATACTTACTATTTTTGGCTTTTAAATGTTGTCTTTTAACGATGTAAGCTGCCTTGGGTCTTTTTAAGGAGAAAAACGGGATGGATAGATAGACAGGCAAACAGATACGGTTTGTGTAATACATAAATAGGACACACCAGTTTCACGTGCAAAACTGTCAATAGTATAATTCTGGACTGTCTACCATCCTTAATTTCAGAAATTTGGGGTGTCGTGGAAGTTCATGCAAGGCAAATTGTCTTTAACGAAAAAAAATCTTCCAACAAGGTCCTATAGGAAAAAAAAATGGCTTGCCTATTCAAGTCTTGAAGGATTCCAGCAGAAGTTACTCTAACCTCAAAAGAGCATGCAGTTCCAGGCCTGTCCCTGAAGGAGAATTTGCCTGTGAGGGAGAAATTCAAGTCCAATTTTGTTTTGAAATGGGTATTTATGGGATGGTAGCAGGATTAGCGGGTTCACCAATTGGCTGCATCTGCCAAAATGACTCAAGGGCAGATTCTGTAGCTCCTTACACACCCAGAACGGTTAATAGCAGATTTGGGCATACAAGGAACAGAAGAACAGAGAAAGACTCCCACCCAGCCACCCTATGATGCTTAGCCGGAGCACTTAGAAATGGAAAGCCCAAACGAAATGTTGGGTGGCAGAGAAAAGTGACAGCAGGCATATGGTGTAATTCTCAAAAGGTTTGTTGACCCTGGATATTCCCGTAGTGCAGATAAAATAGAAGGGAAAAGTGGGTTTGGTTTTTTTGTTTTAATCTGTGCATGAAATCAACTGGCTGGAAATTTGTTCCCATTCTGAAAATAGCTCCCTTTTGATATGACAAAAGGCTGGGCTCTGCTTTCTTCCCTTCCTGTTGATAACAGGCAGTTGCTAAGCTGGACATAAAGCTTCAAAACGTCAGCATGGCCTTGTCGTTGACTCATACGCTTGTCTCCCCTCCTCTCTCCAGGTGCGTGTGTTTGTGAACCAGCTGTACCAGCCACCCTTGGTGAAGGACATTCAGCAGAACCCCGATCTGCAGGCCATCCGCATCGCTTCTGTGAACCCCATCCTCGACCCATGGGTGTATATTCTCCTCCGCAAAACAGTGCTGAGCAAAGCCATTGAGAAAGTCAAGTGTCTCTTCTGCCGCATCGGAGGGGCCCATCGGCCACACTCGGGGAGTAATTACAACTGCACAGATGGGCGCAGGACCTCTGCCTCGGCCAGCCACTCCCCTTCCTTCATCTCCCGGGAGTTGAGGGAGATCAGTAGCACCTCACAAACGCTTCTGTACCCCCTGGAGCCGAGCGAAGGGACCGTCGGGGACCGTGCCCTGTTACCGGGTACAAGTGGCAACCCAGCCCGATTGGACACGACTTCCTTAAGGACACTGAGGAACTCGGACACCTCAGAGTCTTCACAGGGTCAGAACTGTGAGAACGTCTTTTTAGTGAAAGCGCTCAGGCCCCGTGGTGAGGTCAGTCCCAGTCCAAAGGGCAGCTCTCTCCAAGTCACCTTCCCCTGTGAGGCATTGAACTTGTCAGAGAAGTGTATATAAGCGACGGAAAGCATTTGGACCCACAGTAGCCCTGGGAAGAACTGATATGATGGACAAATCCAACATCCGTCTGGTCTGTTGTGACTAATGTCCTCCCAAGGTCTATTCAACTTTACACTTTCCCCAGTCCAGTGGGGATCATGTACCCATTGAACTGGAAACGGGCACCTAGTAAGAGACTATATGGAATGCAAAATGGCAGCCATCAGGGGTTGAAAGCAAAGATGCTGATTTTCTGGCTGCTCCATCTCTAATACTGTGCTTGGTGCACCCTCTGTCTTAGGGGAGAGGAGCAGCTGCTGTGTCTTGAAGTAGTGTGTGTGCATGCGTGTTTTATTTCTATGTAATAAGCACAGTTCTTGGACGAGATTATGGGTCCCTCCCTGATCTTCTGCGGTCGAGTGACCTAGCAGTGCAACAGATGAATGTAGTGGTATCAGAAGCACAGGTTGCAGGCCGGGCTGTGCCGTGCCTTGCAACATAGGCCTTGGGTTTCATGGTTACAAAGAGTTGGCCATTTGAACCCATCCCACTGTGACTGAAGCATACTTATCCCCTGTCCCTTTTCCCTGAGGTTTTAATGTAATTGCTCAGAGAGAACTGATTAAAACTCAGCTGCTGGTAGCTGTGCAAAACTGCTCCAGTTGGTATGAAAACTGAAAATTTCTCCTATGGTGTGTGGGGGGGAAATGTGAATTTTTTTTTTTGCCCCTCTGGCTGTAAATAAGGTGACTGTATTTAAAAAAAACCCTCTATTCTTCTCTGTGAGAAGGTGAATGTTAATACAAAGTATATAGAAAAATAATATTGCCAGCCCTTGTTTGCCTCTTAATGCCTGCTGATAGATAACTTTACATTAGATTTATTTTTCAGATATGCGGGTTCAGTGGCCCAGAGTTAAATTTGTAAAGGAGTGGAGAAATTTGGTGTTAAATGGAAACAATGTTATGATACCAGTGAGAAAAATAAAGTTCTGTTTTCAAAATATTCTTTATATCATGTGTGCACACCTAAGAGTTTATGTCCTCTGAATGTATAATGGTAAAAACCCAGTGTCGTTTAATTAAGCAAATAACCAAGTTCTTTAAATATTTAATACACGTGGCCCAATTTGTAGTAGGCTTACTCAGACATAAGGCTTGCTATGTTTGATGGATCTTGCTCCAAAGTAAGTCGGTACAGTCCTGTAGCCTTAATGATCATCATCATAGCACATCTAGTTCGTTTGCAGAACTGAGGTCTAAAATGAACATCTGCTTGACTTCCTGTCTTACCCAACTCTTAGGTTTATTTCCTTGAAAGCAAATCTTTCTGAATCAGTTTAGTCCAATATATTTAGGATCTAAGCTGATGCACGACTCTTTGTTGCTGTTGCTGCAATAAGCTCACACACTGGAAATATTTAGGATTTTATTTCCAGGACCACTTCATGCAAGAGCAAGCAGGGTCATCTCCAAGCTGTGCTTGTGTGTCACTCAAGAGTGAAAAAAAGTTACTTTTTTCGGCCTACTTCTCCTCAAGTCCCATTGCCTGTGTATCTCCTCTCCAGTTTGAAGGTATTCCTTGCATATGAGCCAGTGCATCCACATCAGGAGGTTTATCTGCAAACCCCTGAAATGTGGGTTTATGGCAGTTCAGAATAGTGCAACTACAATTTGATAGTGATGGCACGGCCTGTAGACACCTGCCCCTCGCTGCAAAGAGGTTGTTTAATGGGACACACAAGTTCCACCCCCAGCACTGCCAATTCTTAAAAGCCTGATGAAATGTTTTGACTTGCCAGTCATGTTGTTAAGTCTTTGGGGCAGTGCACACTATTTATATGGACTGATAGTTGCAGTCCCAGAATAACAAATTTTCCATTTTCCAGAGATGGCAAAATACCGGCTCTTGTGTATTTACTTTTTTGGATTATAATCTCCCAGGGTTCATGATGGCCGGGGGATTCTGAAAAGAATGCAACTTTTAAAGCCTCTATAAAATAGTGTTACCCTTTATATCCTAAACAGTCTGCAGTAGAAAAGATGGTCTGATTACAACTTGGGGCCATACTGTGTTTGCCTGCGCATTTATCTGGACAGCCTGTGTTCCAAGATGTATGTGATCTAATCCATTTGCAACTGTGCAATTTTCTTTAGCTTCAATCCAGGCATGTGGCCCTCTAGATGGTTTTGGGACTGTAACTCTCATCATGCTCCTTCGTTGGCCACATTGCCTAGAGTACAGTTTGCGCGTGTATGTGATCTAATCCATTTGCAACTGTGAGATTTTCTTTAGCTTCGGTCCAGGCATGTGGCCCTCTAGATGGGTTTGGGACTAACTCTCATCATCATGCTCCTTTGTTGGCCACATTGCTTAGAAGAGTACAGTTTGCACATTAACCTTCTGGAGGACCATCCATTCTCCCCACTGCTGGCCTCTAAAAAAGTTAGGCAACTGGGTCCTCCTTGTGTTGTTTTGGGCTCACAACTCCTACCAGCTCTGGTTAGTATGCCCAATGGTGAGAGTCACTATCCAGAAACATCTAGAGGGCCATCACTGACCATTGCAACTGTTGTGGTGGTGTATCAGAATTTCAAAATGGGGTTGGCCCATTTGGTCTTCATGCTGTCCGCTTTGCTTGCACAGGCACAGTGAGTGTGCAACATTATTTGAGCATAAAAAGAGTGCACTTTAACCATTAAGAGACCAAACAGAAAAAGGAAAAAAAACACATGAAAATAAAATCTCATGTTTTGCTATTATACATTAACAACCAGTAGAATACCCAAGGACAGACAGATATAAGCTTTTGCTATATTTAAAAATAACAGGCAGTTACTGTATAAGCCAGAGAATATTCAGAATTTCTCTGTTATATTCAAAAAGTGTTGACTTTCATATCCCACTATTGTTACCTCGTGCTATTCAGAAGTTCTTGGGTTTTGTTTTGATTTTTTGCCAAAGACAATATCAAGCATGTTGCATTTCTTAATGTGGTCTTCTTCGTGTGAATTGATTTTTGTTGGAATTAGAATTCTGAGCCTGAATGTCAGTAATAACACTTTAAAAAACAGTTTGTACTGGCCTAAACCTCTTTTGGAAATCACAATTAAATGCAGACATGCCACTGGACTACAGACGTCCGTGTGAATCTGTACTTGAGCAATCATTCTGATATGTAACTGTTGGGATTATCTCGTCATAACACTGAAAAACATTAGGGACACAACAACAAATAAGACAAAAAAGGTTGAAAATGTGTCTGAAAATAGAAAACAGGATTCTAAACAGAGTCTGTTACCTAGAAAGACAAATAAATAGGAAAAGGAATCAGGGAAAAAAGCAATACTGTAGAATGATACCTTCAGGAATCTATAAACACTAGCAAATAGAAATGTTTTAACAGGGAGATAACATTTTTTCCTCTGTTTACTGTTAGGAGACTAAATCTTATTTGATTTTGCAGGCAAAATATGTCAAAAATGTTGTCCCTGCATTTATGCCATTTCAGCACTTTCTTGTGAGAAAATTATGAAAGTGATTCTGTGCAATCCCCTCAACCCATGTCTTGCACAGAAAACGCTGCATTTTGCTCCGAATACAAATTTTCTCTTTTGCACAAATTTTCTCTTTTAGCTAGTGGTTGGTTATTTTTCTGAAAGAAGAGAGAACTTACACATGGCTCACTCCATCCTTATTCATCATTGGAGTCTAGTCTACAAAAACATACATCATAATACAGTGGTGCCTCGCATGACAACATTAATTTGTTCCGTGAAAATCGCTGTAAAACGAAAACGTGTCATGCGATTTTAAAAAGCCCATAGAAACGCATTGAAACCTGATTAATGCATTCCTAGGGGCTTCAAACTCACCGTCCAGTGAATATCCTCCATAGCGTGGCCATTTTTGCTGCCCATGCAGCGAGGAATCCATGCCAGAAAACAGTGGATGGCCATTTTTTTTTAACCCAGTGGCCATTTTGAAACCGCCGATCAGCTGTGTGAAAATCATTGCTTTGCGAAGATTGGTTACCGAAACATGGGATCATCGCTTTGCAATGATTGGTTACCGAAACATGGGGCCGATCATCGCAAAGCGAAAATCCCCCATAGGGAACATCATTTTGCGATCGCTTTTGCAATTGCAAAAATATCTACATAAAGCGATTTCGTCGTCAAACAGAGCGCTCGTAATGCGAGGCACCACTATATAGCTGTTAATCTTTGATGGTGCCACAACTCTGCTATTTCTGCTTTCCTAGTCAAAATATGTTGGGGTATTTGCCCAGATAATAGGTATTTCCACCAATTTAATTGGGAAGCTCTCCTTCAAGACCTAAACATCTAAGGAAATGCCATCAAATGGGGTTGAAAATTTCCAAATGAAAAGAATCGAGAATGCATAAAGGAAAAGAGAAATGAGAAAGCAAGGATGTTAACATCTCGACAGCCAAACAATTCCACAGTCAGCTAACCTAGAATCTATTGTTAACTGGCCCTCCCAAAAACTAGCTGCTGCCCTGGTTTATATGGTGCATTCTGTGAGAGCACGGAGAAAGTTCAGAAAGTGTTAGGAATCACTAACTTCCTGATGGTTTTTGTTATTGTTTATTTTATTCACCTAAAATATTTTTGTCCTGCCTTTTTCCTTAAAAGGGCACACACAAACACACACTGATTCCTCCCCTTTGGGCTATCAAGAGACGCTTGAAAGTGCATTGATCATGTCTGCAGAAATCTTAAAAGAGAGAGCAGTGCTAAGCCCGGCCTCCAGTGGTCAAGAACCTGAAACTCTCGGAGCTAAACCCTGAAAACTAGACAAAATAATAAAGCTTTGCCAAAGAAATCACAGCAAACTAAGAGAAATGACTCCATATGCATAATTTAAACAATTACAGGATGGAGCTTTTAGAATGTCAATGACCTGGATATAGAATTTATCAGAGAATATGCACAGTCCTGGGTTCCAGCATTCAAAAGTACACGCCGCTCTTGAATGCAGTATATTTCAGACCCTGCACATTTAAGCAAAGGCGTTGTTTTCACAAGAAACAAACTTTATTACGATATAAGAATTTTCAGTGACAAGCAAAATATAAACCAGGAAGTTAAGAACATAAAACCAGGGTAGAATATTAGCAGCTGAATAACAATGACTGGCTACTAATTAAAGGCTATCCAATGAAGATCCATACTGAGGAGAAAAGTGCTGATGAAGTCCTGTGTTCTGCTTATTAATATGGAGAATACAAAAGAAAAAGAGTGAAACAGCAAAGTCTTTAGAGTGGCTCACAATGACATCCAAAATCAAGATGACAAAGCTATGCATGTCACCAACAACTGAGGTTGCACAGCAAAAATGAGTCTGAAGTTCCCAATTTCTATGGACTTTTGCACATTTATCTGAGCACAAATCCCTTTAAAATAAAAGTGACACTGGAGTGAAAGTGGATACTACTGAACATGGCTAATCAACTAGGAATCCCAAATAGAATAGACTCAATGAGATTTAGATAACAATTGACAACATCCAGCAACTGATCTAATAATGGGGATACTCCACCTAGATCCAGGTTTTAGAAATGTGACACTCCTCTGCCAAAATAAACATCAAACAGCCTTGCTGGGACTTTAAAGACTACCAACTTCTATGTAGCATAATAAGCTTATGTGGACTTCAATGTTGCATTTAAAGAACTGGGCTGGAGTCCACAAAAGCTTATTCTAACAAAACCTGTTAGCCTTTAAGCTGCCACAATACTCTGTTGATTTTGCTGCAATAAACTATCACGCTGGAAACCTCTGTGACAAAACGTTAAAAATATTTGAGTAGAAGACCAGATGTCTGCAGAATTTTATGGAAAGCATTTGAGATTAAACACAACAGATTTACCTTATGAAGATAATTTTTGCAAACTGGAGCACTCACTAAAGAATCTCTCCAGTCCATTCAAAATATTATACCCAAATCTCTATAATGCATAGCTGACCCCACAATTGCCTGATGGAGAAATAACCGCAATAATGTCCCTGTTCTAACAAATTCAATGTGGCTATCAAAATTTCATTTAGAGTAAAGCTTGACCTTGGAAGCACAACTTGCGGAGCAGATCCGTTTACAAAACAAACAGAATGAGATCAGCAAAAGATCAACACAAAATAATTTAATTACACACAAAATCTTTTGTCTCTACTGAGTGTATGGAACTCTCATCAATGCTGAACTATGGCTCTGTCACAGGGCATTAAAATGTGCAAAACAAGAACACCTCTTGAGACGACTACTATCTGTCTTGTTTTTTCATAGCCTGCACTCAGTGTGGTTTATCTTAAATTTGTAGTATTTTTGTTTTTTAAAAATGTGGTTTCCAAACTCTATTGACCACAGTGGATTGTTCCCCACTGAGAGTTATTTTAGAATGAAGTTTGATGCCAAAACTCATGTACATCTTTCAGTACATATAATCTGAGTAACATGTGTACACCCAAATGGTGTTGAAAATAGCCTAAATCCAACATTATGCTGAGAACCAGCTCTATGGCACATCCAGCAGGTCTTGCTGTCCTCCAAAACCTGGCTACATCGAGGTTTTCCTAAATATCCAGGGCACATCTTTGGAACGCATGGGGGCTGCAGTGGGATGGGTCACCTGGCACTTTCCAATTCGACTCACAGAAGGAATTCTGTCCTCTTACCAGCTTTAGGACATCACTCTATAGTACACTTCTTTTTGTGAAGCAAGAAGATTTAATCATTTGTTTTTGTACCTTGAACGTTCATTCTTTTTCTTCATTGTCGTATATGTTAGCACTTTTATTTCTTTGGAAAGTTCTGGGAAGGGGAAGAAAAGGGGTCAATTTATACCCTGTCTTCCTTGTGTTTACCCAATCCAACTGAAAAATAAAACCAAACAAAAGGAATATTTTAATCACATAGTTTCAAAAAACAACAACAACCCTATATTCTTTTGAATTAGAAATAGGAGTTGGTGCCACAAACTACCATAAGGCAATAGAAGCAGATCATATTTTGTCCCAAACGACGAGAGGTTCAAACAGCTTTGGCGTACACTGCAGTGCCATGAACCTTCTACTTCTTTCTGAGTTCCATTTGGAGGCTTTGCCTCCTCCTGACCTCCAAGGTGGGGGGGCCTTCAACCCCTTTTCCTCCCCTGCCATACAGTGGCCACACGAAGGTCTAGGTAGAGGCAGCAAATCTGCAAAGCCTCTCCAGGCTTGTGTGTAGCGCGCGGCGAGGAACAAAAGGGGGTAGACCAGAAAAATCTCATAAGGGCTCTTTATAGGACTATGAGCACACGTAACTTTTCAAATTTTCAGTTCAGAACTGAAAGTTGCCATTTCCAGACCAGGAATACGAGATGGTTGCAAGAAGCTGCTCTCTGCCTCTGCCTCCCATTTCCCCTCCTGTTACGAGTGGTGTTTGATTTGTGATCAGCCTCAAGTGCCAAAGACATGTCTCCACCCCATTCAAGCTTCCTCCCATCTTGGGCATGCTATTAGTGAGCACATTATGAAGCAAACTGAGAAAACTCTATACAATCTGAAGCTTCACTTGGTGACAACCCCAGTGCCTGAGGATCCATAAGGAGGCTGAAGAAGAAGGGGGTGGAAACCAAGATCCTCAAAGACACGGGGAGATGCCAGGAAGATTTCATTCTGTCAATCAATGTTGCTTATCGTGCTTTAATAAAAACAGCACTGTCAGGCGTTGTCGTGCATTTCTCTTTTTCAGTGACCGTCTCAACCGTCCCGGAAGCGGACACGATTACGACACTTTTAGAGGCCAAGGAAGCTTTCTCCTTTTCGGCAATTGCAGCACAGACGGTCAAAATCTCCTCGCTTTCAAAATCGTAATCCGGAATCGGCTCCTCTGAACTCTGTCCCTGAGATGCCGTTGTCTGCATGCCTGGCTCTGCTCTGCTTGCTTTCTTCTGCTGCTGCTGTAGCTTCCTTGCCCAAGAGAGATCTTCATTCCACAGTTCAGAGCTTAGCGGGCAGATATGCAGCGCAATCTGGAAACTTCGGATGGCCTATAAAAACAAGAGCGGAAACATCCCAGTTAGAACTTGTCAGCACGTACCATGTCTTCTTGACTGGAGAGGAGAAAGGGCATTACTGGGGAAAGTGTTGTTCCTGTTAGAAATACTGCCAATATAATAGGGAATCTGAATATTTCAAACAGGGAAGATGAGAAGAATGAGCACTGAATTTAAACCCAGGGCTCTGGATGATATAATTGATTCTTTGCACAATGGGGTTCCCTGGCTCCTCCCCCACCATGGCTCCTAGAAACCCCCAAGAACAGTGATTCTTCATGTAAACAAGGAACAACCCCTTGAATTTTTGTTCTTTTATTTCAATTACAAAATTGGATGTGGACTTATGGTAACTTTTTTGTCTCTTACTCCAGTTCTTTCACACTTATTCTGAAGGACTGGCATATCCCTTGGCAAAACAAAGCAAAAAGCAAAGTGCGCTGCTTATATACCGCCCCATAGCGCTTCAAGCACTCTGGGCGGTTTACAAGTTAATTATGCAAGCTACACATTGCCCCCCCCAAGTGAGCTGGGTACTCATTTTACTGATCTCGGAAGGATAGAAGGCTGAGTCAACCCTGAGCCGGCTACCTGGGATTGAACTCCAGGTCGTGAACACAGTTTTGGCTCCAGTACAGCAGTTTAACCACTGCGCCACGAGACTCAGCTTTCAGAGATATGAAATTGGCTTCTGCAGCCTGGCCACACCTGGATCTGAGCTCAAATTCCTATCATATATTCATTGGTGGCTTTGTAGAAGTAATAATAATGAATTATACTTTACCTTTCTAAAGGGCATTTAAGAGTGCAAAGTGTTTCATGTACAAAAAAAATGTCTTACACTAAATACCTGATCTGCCTGTTGACCACTTACTCCCTGTTTTCCCCAAATTACAGAAGAGGGCCCCCAATCTTGCATATTGTAGTGACTTAGATGTCAAGACACAGCTCGCCTGAATGATGATGCAGATAGCAGGCTCTGAATGTTCAAAGCAACTGTCAGCCACATTTCATTGTAATAGTAATAATTACATGCTGTCAAGTCAATTCTGACTTATCGCAACCCCTTTCTGGTTTTTCCAGGTATCAAGTATTGAGAAATGATTTACCAGTTCCTTCTTTGGGGGGGGGGGGATCTCAGATTGTGCAGTTTGCCCAAGGCCACACAGGCTGGCACATCTCCTGGGACACATGGGGAATCAAATTTCAAACCTCTGCAGCCAGATACCCAACTCACTGAGCTGAATAATGCACATGAACTACAGGTAATATAAAACACTTTACTATTAAATCAGTCACATCTCTCTTCCTCTCCCTTAAACATACACACCTCTCTTCCAATTCTAAAACATAAGTACCAGTAGTTTTACATGTGCTTTTACAATATGGACACATTTAAATTACTGTTTATTTCTCTTAAGTAATAAAGCAAAAGCTTTAAAGCTTTGGATTTACACAGAATTTTTATGCTGTTTTGTATAGCTCAAAAGCATTCACACATCGGCACTGACAAAAAAAAACTTAACAAAAAAGAAGTTGAAACACACATAATAGATTCCCCTCCCAGTTCCCAACTATAACTTCCAGATGCTGGATAGCTCCATGGTTTAGGCATCTGGCTATGGAGCCAGAGGTTGGGAGTTCAAGCCACACTGTGTCTCCTTGACAGGGGCTAGACTCAATGATCCATAGGGTCCCTTCCAGATCTGCAGTGCTAAGATGAGGATGATAACTGAAAATTTCTCCTATAGTGTAGGTGAAAAAAATGTGATTTTTTTCTCTGGCTGTAAATAAAGCGACTGAACATATTTTTTTTTAATTATATTCTTCTCTGTGAGGAGGTTTATATTAATACAAAGTACAGTATATAGAAAAATAAAGGTTCCCCTTGACATTTTTAGTCCAATCGTGTCCGACTTTAGGGGGCGGTGCTCATCTCATTTTTCAAACCGTAGAGCCAGTACTTGTTTGAAGACAGTTTCCTTTGTCACGTGGCCAGCATGACTAGGGAACACTGTTTTACATTCCCACCAACATGGTACGTATTTATCTACTCGCATTTACATGCTTTCGAACTGCTAGGTTGGCGAGGAGCTGGGACAAAGCGACGGGAGCTCACTCCGTCATATTGCCAGCCCTTGTTTGCCTCTTAATGTCTGCTGACAGATAACTTTACATTAGACTTAGATTTCTGATGAAGATCCTCTGACCAGCCTGGACATTACTATACTGCCCGGGGATGCTCTGTGAGTTCTATACATCCTCCCCCTGACCCCCAAAACCCTTTTCCAAGCTGTGTCCCAGTTTCCTATGCAACACATGTGTTCCATATGAAGAAGGTTGGTTCCCGAGAGAACACAAGTATGAACTCCACGATCTTTGTGAAGAAATTCTGAATCACAGAGTACAATGATAATCCCTTTTGTTTTTTTTATTGGACTTGACCAATTGCCAATGGGTGTCCAAGGGGAAACGGGTGTGTGGGTGGGAAGAAATCTCTTTGACTCAGGGCCTTTTGCCAGCTGTTAAGTTTCAGAACAAGCTGGACACAGCACACACTTGAAAGGGCCTGGCTCAATGCTTCAAACACAACATCCGTCAACAGCTGTTAGCTTCAAGTAGGTGCTCAGACTGTGAGTAAATATGAAAATATCCAAAGGATTACAAAACAACACACAATATAACTTTGATTTTTTTTTTTTTGGAGAGGGAAAAACTTCAGGGTATGGATTTGTCATTTTATGACTCTGTCAGTTAAATAGCAATTTACTTTTATCAGGCTATAAAAATGTATTACTAACCACCATTGTTTTAACAGCTATCTCTAGGTTAATGTATGCTGTTGGATGCAAACAGAACTCCATAGCCAGGCACAATTCTTTCTTGATATTGATATCTAAGGCTATTAGCATTTTATTAAACAACTGTAAACTCACAGGCCTTTAAATTTGCCAAAGACAAGATCACCTCTAAAAACTCCATTTTTAGAATGAAGAAACTTACTAAGGCTATTAGCATTTTATTAAACAACTGAAAACTCACAGGCCTTTAAAATGCCAAAGACAAGATCACCTCTAAAAACCCCATTTTTAGAATGAAGAAACTTACTTATTATTTATTTATTTAATTTATATGCTGCCCACTCTACCCAGAGGTCTCTGGGCGGCTTACAACAATTTACAAACTTGCTTGCTTAACATTTTTGGGGCAAGGCCCAGAAGGTTAACTGCTATTAAGAAAAATCCCTCATTTCAGCACAGAAAAGGTGTAAGATATGATTTAGGGAGTAATCCAAAAATAATTTTGCAAATGGCACTTGCACGATTAGAAGGAAATCAAATAAAGAGAGAAAGAAAAAGGAAGGAGTATTTAGTATTTAGTATTTAGTATTTAGGGAGTAATCCAAAAATAATCTTGCAAATGGCACTTGCACAGATTGATTAGAAGGATTTCTAGCAAAGGTACTCAACTCTAAGGGACAGTTTCACATGTTAGAATCAATTGCAGAAGTACATATGCCACTATCGTCCATTCCAGAATTTATTCTGTAAATAAAAGTACAGCACATTAAATCTTTTAAAAATAACTGTCTGTTTCTAGATCTCCAGGCTTCAAAACTGATAACAGAAAGAGGTAAAGCATGTTTGTTGTGATATTTGTCTAATTCTTTTAATTATTTGTATTAGAGATGGGAGTATTTGTATATGAATATCCTCCCCACAGGTACAGATAACGAGGGTCCCGCCCCCCAGAGCCTGACCGACCACTCACGATTCTGCCACTGCTGTGAGCTCTGCGGAGCCTTCCTGTCGCTCCATTGCTCGCGATGAATCAGCCGGTCCTGGCAGAAGGTGGGATGATGAGCCTCTCTGCCAGGTCACAGGATGGCTAATCCATCATGAGCAAAGGAGAGATAGGAAGGCAGTGCGGCAGAATCATGAGTGGTTGGTCCGGCCCCAGGGGGCCAGACCCTCGTTATCTGCACCTCCGGGGGGGGGGATTCATATATGACTACCCCATCTCTAGTTTGTATACTTGCTATTTTTAGTTTTTAAACATAGTCCTTCAATTACGTAAGCCACCTTTGGTCCTTTTTAAGGAGAAAGGTGGGGTAAAAATATTCTAAACAAAACAAACAGAACAGGCTCTCCCAATACAATCTGTATGTAGGCGTAGATGCTTAGAATCAACTTCTGCCCCATTGGCTATCGTGAGTATTCCTATACTGCAGACAACAGCAATCGGATATCACTGTAACCATTGTGGCTGCACCCAACAGGATCCTGGCACTGGGAGTCATTGAGTAAAGTACTTTAGGTTTTCTGAGAGATTACTGCAACCCCTTACACTAAGGGGTAATCCTAAATACTCCACCAAACTAAAAAAAACAGGATTCACTGGAATGAGCATCAAATTGCTCTAACTGTGCAGCACAAACAGAGCCCAAGTTTATGAACAAGGCTACAGTAGAACAAGCTCAGCATACACTTCATCACCGAATGATACCCCAGAGCTATATCAGGGTAACAGCAGGCTGAAGCCAGGTTCCCTAGTCTTAGTGGAAGGACTCTGCTTGTGGGAGATCTTTTGGAAAAACTCTCTCACTCCATTCAGCAAGTTCTTCTTTTCTGGGGGCTACAGCAGATTCCACAGAGAAGTCCACTTCCGCCAATCCAGTTGCATGCAACTAAACATGAATCAAAACTAGAATAAAGCCAGGAATTTTGTTAACTGAATGTTTTTTTAATACTTCTAATCCTTTAGTTGCCTGAATGGGATACTGTATAACACTTCCCAGAAAAATGTATGCACAGAAGGGGAAGCCTGGAGTGGCGAGCACAGTTTTTCCAGAGGGGTTCCTTTCCACCAGCTCAACTGCATGTGTCTAAATTTGAATTCAACCCACTAGCCAGGATCCAATAGGATCTTATTACTTCTGCAAGAACCTGGGGGGGACCTTCCTCTGCCCCCCCAATGCACCTTAAAAACCCAAA